GAAAAGGTGGCATAGAAATCTTGATGAAGTTGATGATGATGATAAAGATACTGTGCAAAAATCTAGCTTCCCATTTGTAATCTTCCTTGGCAAGACATCCTTCAGCTTTTCCACTTCCTTCTCAAGATGTTTTACAGCCCTTTAGGCTTTCTAGACATAGAATCATGGAAGGGATCTTCCAGCCCAGTTGGAGAAGAACCCTATTACTCTGTAGTAGAAAAAAATCAGAAGGCACCTGGTAGCATCTTTTCCAACTAACCCATTTTATTAAAGGCATCATACCAAGATTCCTTCTGATCTTCAGAATGTCGATAGGCAATGCTTTGGAACTTGCTTTAAGGTCAGACATTTTTTCATCCTGCTCTCTCAGAGTGTCCAAGCTTTCCTAATGTGAAAAAAAGAATTCATGGGAGGAGTTAATAGAAATATGAGAAGCCAGAAAGGCTGCAGTTATGTCAGACCTCCATAGAAATGATTGTAGAATGAAGACACACAGTTATCTTACGTATCCCTTGGCTATCCCTGAGAATGTAATGGGAATGTTCTTCTTTGGACATAAAACAACTCCCTCCCCCTCAAAAAACACCCAACTCATTGCTTTACTGTCAAATTGTAGAACGCAAAATAAATAAAACAAATAAAATCTCAGCACAGCTGGAAGGGGGAATCGGTTTCAAAAGGAGACATTTTCAACCAAGAAAGAAAGTTGCTTAAATTCCCCTTTGTTAACTCTACACCCCCCCCTCAACCCCCTCCCCACGGGATTTTGAAAAAAATGTTGGCAAAGATAGAGACAGCGTCTGCGCCCCCAATGCCTCGGAGAAGGCATCCATCTGCAAGAAGAATTCCAACTGTTTTCTGAACTCTCTCCTATCCAACAGCCCAACACGCCTTGCACCCGTAAACCATCTGAGGCCGTAAACCAGTTACAGCCAAATTTCTTGACCTACTTGGCATGCTGAGAATGTAGCTTGCGTGAGTGCGCCGCAAAGCTTGGTGCATTCTCCGCGTGCCAGGAACGGAACACAAATTGGCCCCTCAGGCCTTGACTCTTGGGATTTACGTAGCAGGAATTAAGTTCCAGCAGACTTTATCCAGCTTACGTCCAAGGTAATAGATCCAGGAACAAATTGTTTGTGTCTCAATTGCCACACCGAAAGAAGACTTGCATTCTTGCCCATGCCCTGATTTGCAGGTGACAACTTAGTCTCTAGTGAGAGTGACCAACTAATCTGGTCAAGGGATGGAAGAATATGCCACTGACTAACTTTTCATCACTAGCTAAGCTAAAATCACATGAACCCAGCAAGTAGGTTCTCTGTGTTGTGTGAACCATAAGCAACTGGGTTGATTGGGTTTGGTTAACCCTGGTTTAGGCTATTGTGTAAAGGCAGCCATCTTGTCAATTGTTTCAAAGGCAGCTAGGGAATTTTAACGACTATAATGATATTGTGGACACTTTTTAGATGGCCATGTGTATTATTTCAAAATATTTTATTTGAGTGAGGCCTGGGCATCTGCACTAATGTTTGAATCACTGTTCAGGCAGAAAAGTATCTTTGTTTACTCCTGGGCATGGAAGAACTGTGTCATTACAGAATACAGACAATTTTTAGCTCTGCTCCTGAAAAATTCCCATTATCCTAGTCTTAAGGGAACATCCTTCTTCTCCAACAAGTACCAGGAAATAATTTGCATCAAATCCATAGTGTTTAGTCTTAATAACTAAGGGAGTTACACATTTGACACTCTGATTGTGCCCTTGTGATACCCTGAACCACAAACTGGATAACCACTAGCTATGTAACCCCAACCAGGTTTTGGTTCTTGCTTCCATGAGATATGTGAACACCAAATCTGGATACTGCTCTTGATTTTTATTTTATTTCACTGATGTATTTACAAATATGGCATCTAAACCTTTTTCTGGGATTCTTCTGTTGTACCAGGGGTGTTCATTTGTTAGGCTTGTTTATTTGGGGAAGTTTAAAAGAAGCTGGAACTTGAAGAATCAACAATCGGAGTCAAGATTGGAGGAAGGAACATCAACAATCTTTGATATGCTGACGACACAGTTCTTCTCTCAGAAACCACAGAAGGCCTGAAACATCTGATCAAAAGGATTAAAGAGGAAAGCGAGAAATTTGGCCTCTTTTGAACATCAAAAAGACCAAGCTCATGACGACTGTGAGGAATGGAACTGTCAAAATAGCAACTGACGGTGAAGAGATCGAATGCGTGCAAGAATTCACTTCCCTAGGATCGCAGATTGATCAAAGCGGTGAATGCAGTCCAGAAATAAAGTGTCAAATCGCACTAGGTCGCACAGCAATGATGTGGATGAATCAAATATGGAAAAGAAGGCCATCAGCCTGGTAACTAAATGAAGATTAGTCTGCACCATCGTGTTTCCCATAGCTACCAATGGTTGGGAAAACTGGTCCATGAAAAAACTAGACAGGAGGAAAATCAACTTGTTCTTGTGGGAGAAGGCTCCTGTGCATTTCTTGGACAGCAGAAGTGACAAACAAGCAAGTTCTGGAGTGTATAAAACCAGACATATCACTGGAAGGCAAAATCACAAAATTCTGCCTTACTTATTTGGCCATGCCATGCGATCAAACTCACTGGAAAAGGCAGTTCTGCTCAGAATGGTCAGCGGTAAAAGGAAACAAGGCCACCAAACGCCAGGGTAGCTAGACTCCATCAAAGCCAACACCAACCAGACCATAAAACAACTGAAAGTAGCTGTACAAGACTGGAAAATTGGAGAGAGCTGGTCCATAGAATCGCCGAGAATCGGACACGATTGAACGGATAACATCATCTTCAAGGTATTTGGGAATAAGGAGGAGTTCGTTGCCCTGATGTCTGCTATTTTAAATAACTTTCCAACAGAAGGTTACAGGAAAATCTTCTAGGTGGAAACTAATTTTCTCCTACATTCCAAAGCAACTGTACAATGACACAAGAGTGTGTGCGTGTGCGAAGTAGGGGAAGTCCCAGTGCCTAACCTATTAGTGCCTAAATGTGCCTTATGCACACCACTACTGCCCTCTTGTGGACTATGAAAACAGTGTGTAAGTCTGTTTTTTGTTTGACTACAAATTTCATCAGCATGGCCAAAAATAATAGAGCTTCATACCTCCTCTTTCCTTCATGAACAGCCACAGACAAAGGGAGCATCTTCTGCACTAATCAAAACTCTTCCTTGGATAAATCATAAATGTATGGTTGGTTTCAAAGGGTTTAAGTCATGAATTTGTTCAACTTCCTGTGTGTGTGTCTGTACTATTCTGAAATAACTTTTTTCAAGAATATTTTTTGGGTTTTGAAAAGTTTTTCTTAATCAATATACGATGTTATTGTGATTTCTCTAGCACCAATGCGAGTATTTTTTTTCTTTAACAAAAGCATGATGAAGCTAGCTGGATGACCTTGGGCCAGTCACTCTCTCTCAGCCCTCAGAAGCAGGCAATGGCAAACCACTTCCAAAAACCCTTGTCAATAAAACTGCAGGGATTTGTCCAGGCAGTCCCCAGGAGTCAAAACTGACTTGAAGG